AAATGAGTCTTTGTTAGGCGTCATAAAGAAGAAATATTGATTGTAACGATAATTGTATTCAAGAGTTGTGTAACAATCGCATTAACTTGCACAAATGGGTTTTGTTTGAAATGAAGTTGTAAGGCAAAGGGTTAACGACGAAACTAACGTAAAAATTCACGTCACGACTTCAGGGCGAGTCTTTTGATTTGTTTTTCTCTTGGCGAAGGTCGTCAGCGCACGTTTCAACGATTAAATTCGCTTTCTCAGCGTGAAACATTATAACAGCTTATCACGAGTATTTATTTCCTTTGTGCATTGCTGACTATGAAATTCTTGATGGAATTACGTTCTTTTATTATTTAATATAAAGTAAATAATCATAAAAATATTAACTTATTTCATAACTAGTTTCTCCCTTGGCAATTCACAACAAAGGAGTCTAATATTTAAACTAATATTTATGTTATTTTTATATTTGAAAGTTTAGTATTTAAATTATTATTATATTCAGAAGTTTAATAGGTATATTATTCTTGTTGAGTTAGGCATTGAATTAGGCACGGAACAATCAGAGCTCGAGGATTACGCCCCCTCAGCCATTAGGTTCGAAGCGTTGCATTTTACGCGTTGCATTACTACGCGTTGAACTATTACCCGCTGAATATCCACGCGCTGGATTACTACACGTTGGATATCCGCACGCTGGATTACTACACATTCTATTACAACGCGTTGGATTTCCATGCATTAGATTCCTACGCTTAGAATTACCACGCGTTGCACTATTACGCGCTGGATTACTACGCGTTGGATATCCGCACGCTGGATTACTACACATTCTATTACAACGCGTTGGATTACCATGCATTAGATTCCTACGCTTAGAATTACCACGCGTTGCACTATTACGCGCTGGATTACTACGCGTTGGATATCCGCACGCTGGATTACTACACATTCTATTACAACGCGTTGGATTACCATGCATTAGATTCCTACGCTTAGAATTACCACGCGTTGCACTATTACGCGCTGGATTACTACGCGTTGGATATCCGCACGCTGGATTACTACACATTCTATGGATTACTACGCGTTGAATATCCACACGCTGGATTACTACACGTTGTATTATTACGCGTTGGATTACTACACGTTGTATGACTACGCGTTGGATTACTACGCGTTGGACTACTAAGCGTTGAATATCCACGCTCTGGATTACTACGCGTTGAATATCCACACGCTGGATTACTACACGTTGTATTATTACGCGTTGGATTACTACACGTTGTATGACTACGCGTTGGATTACTACGCGTTGGACTACTAAGCGTTGAATATCCACGCTCTGGATTACTACGCGTTGAATATCCACACGCTGGATTATTACGCGTTAGATTTCTACGCTTAGAATTACCACGCGTTGGCATTATTACACGTTGGATTACTATGCGTTGAATATGCATGCGCTAGATTACTACGCGTTGGATATTCACACGCTGTATTACTACCCGTTTGATTACCACGCGGTAGTTAACTACACGTTATCCGAAGCTGTTGCTCTCGCGTCTGCGCATGCGTAATCCTCGCGCTCTGATTGTTCCTCGTTTTTCCATAATAATTCAAAAACAAAGCTTCAACCCCCATATTTGCAAAGGGAAATCTTATTCAGAATCGTGTCAGCTACCTCCCACTTCAGTAATTCGTAACGTGCTTCGTACACGAAGGATAATAAATGAAAAAAGTATAAATGAACACGCTGACCAAAAGAGGCCCTGACAGTATATAATTTACGTGCGCACTCTGAATCTCTCCCTTCAAAAATTTCTATATTTAAAAGCGCATTATTCATATCGTATTTGTATTACAAGCTTAATATATACTTTATAAAAGCTTAATATTTGAAACTAAGTTTCATTAACGATTTTCTATCAAGTTCTCGAAGAACAATTGTTATGACTTCATAGCATGGTATTTTATCGAGAAAGAAGCGGAAGAACAGTCCGGTCATTCTTGCAATCGGATAACCAATTCCGGTTTCACCTATACTATTGGTAATCGAACACCCTTGCTCGACATTTTCACCGAGCTAAAGTTTATTCTGCAAAACACGCGTGTATCGAGTTAAACGCGTTTCGCGCGTGTTCGCGACCATAACGTATCAGCACGTTCTGACGTGGTTAGCATAAAAGCTGTAGGATTTGTTTTTTCCAGCTTCGTTGCCAATCTGAATAATGCTACGTGAACAGAAATTTAATAGTTTCTCGCGTGAGAATGAATAACTTCTGTTATTTTTTCCCAAAAATATCTCTTTTATTCCCTATAAATTTTTGGGGGGTAAATACTGGGTTTAAGGGATTATCGTTTACATTCGTGCGCTGTAAATCGATCCGAAAATCCCTCTCTTTAGAATAGTGAAAATAAACCTTAACATTTTGCTGATCTACTAGTTTTACTACTGGAAGTCATTTAAAAATTCATGCATTATAAGTCTTTTTCTTTTTTAATATTAATCATTCAATTATGTATGATTGTTTTAATCAATTTCATGAATAAAGTGTTCGGCTATTAGTTGGCATAATTTCAGGAGATTGTAGCTGGAATGATGCTGAACAACTTTTTCCTTTACCAAAACGTTGACTGAAACTTAGTTTTTGAATTATTAATGAAAAACACTTACCAATTAAAACGCGAGAGTAGCACGCCCAGACGCGGGTGGTTTGAATGTGACTGCCGATCGTCGTCGCTCTGATTGGTCTGTGTTTTTCATTAATAATTCGAAAACTAAGCTTCAGTCAAAATTTTGGTACAGGAAAAAGTTGTTCAGTATCATCTTAGCTACCACCAACTGAAATTATGCCCATCAGTAGTCGGACACCCTGTGTAACTTAATATTTCACTATATAACATATAATATTAATTAATTAACATATCATATAAATTATGACAATATATCATCTTAATATATCATATCATATATACATTATAAGAGGTTGGGATATTTAATAAAAATTTTAATAAATTTTATATTTGAAGTATAAATTCAATGTACTAATCTGTACAATAATATATGTAATTAATTAATTATAAGCAATGCACAAAATTTTATAGAAATATATACATATAGGTCAGTATTAAGTAAATTGTGTTTTAGGCTTTATAACAGAATCTGATTTTTGATCTATCTTGAAGCATACGAAACAATTGTGTTCTTATACGAGGATACAAGATACCTCGCTAATAAAATAGTAATACCAATAATAATGGTTAATAGAATTGTTTATCCCGTATATAGTAACGAGTAATTCAAATATTATTTGATAGATGAACATTTGTTCGTTACGTAATTAAAATATTTTTAGCATCTGTATACCAATGTACTTTTTACAAGTAACAAAAATAGTGTCTGGATGAGTGAACTCCAGTAAATTCGAACTCGACTGGGATGTAAATAACGAGCTAGCTTTACGTAATCTTATGGAAGATTGTGCACGTTTGTTCATAAATTGCATTAAATTGTAACGAGCTAAGGTCAGTGTTGTAACTGCTTTTGTAATTCCGAGTATCGCGGTCTTGGAATAAGTTTCTTAGAAAAAATAGTATGTGATTCTTGTGAAATTTGTGGTTATTCGGAGATTTGGAAATTTGAGAATGTTCAAATTTTAGATTTGAGAAATTGGTTTGGAAATGTTGGAGAAGTGTTGGAGAAAAATTGGAAATTGAAGAGTTTCGAGATTTGAGAAGTTGGAGGTTTGAAAATGTGAGTATTTTGGAATTTAGTAAGGTCGAAATTTGGAAATTTGGAAATATGGGAACTTAGGAATTTATAAGTTTAGAATGCAGGAATTTGAAAATTGAAAATTTGGGCATTTGGAGGATTGAAAATTTTGAACTTGGAAAGCATAGAATTCGTGAAGTTTTAGTGTAGTGCAAAATTAGAAATTTTAATATTTCAGAATTTGGGAATTTGGGGATGTGGGAATTTGGGGATGTGGGAATTTGGGGATGTGGGAATTTGGGAATGTGGTAATTTGGGGATTTGGGAATTTGGGGATGTGAGAATTTGAGAATTTGGTAATTTGGGGATTTGGAGAGTTGGGAATGTGGAGAGTTGGGAATTTGGAGATTTGGGGATTTGGAGATTTAAGAATTTAATAATTTGGGAATTTGGAGAATTGGAAATTTGGAGATTTGGGAATTTGGTAATTTGGGGATTTGGAGA